CATATTTCCCGACTACTCGAAACTCCAATTCTTTATCAAACCTCATATTCACAGGAATATACCGTTTTGGAAGTTGTGTCAGTATTTTCATCATCACTCTCCCCAACCAAATTTCATCAATAATTGCATTAACAGGCCTAAATTATAAGCTGAAACCATTGCTCAATTACTCTTCCTTCATAAATAATCATGAATTCTAACATAAATTAAAACGATCTTGCTAACGAACGCCCCGGGACGTAAGATAAGGATAAATTATATTGGTTGAAATGATATTAAGTTAGGAATTCATGACAAAATCACGCGTCGTTCGGTGTAATTAATGTTAATTTTACTCTAATATTTGCACTTTAATTATCTTATCTAACGCCCTGGGGGCGCTCATTAGCTTTTGCCAAATTAAAATAGTCCCTAATATATCCAGCATAAACCAAAATTAATCAGAACAGCGAAAACGTGATCAATAATCACTAAATCAACAATCATCTAAAATCAAGCAAAAACTAAAGCAAAAACAATGAATCGAAAACCAAAACTTCAAATTCAAAAAGAACAAAAATAATCAAAATAACAGTTGATGGTCTAAAATAAATCAGATTAAGACTTACAATTGATATCAAATTATCACATTCTTCATAAATAGTAGAAATTTCTCATATACAAATGCTAAATTCAAACAAAAATGATAACAAAATTAATAGATTAATTAAAATTCAAAGAAAAAAATTAATTAAAAAATTCAACTGAAAAAATTAAAAAATGATTTAACAGAATTGTTCTTCACCTCGCTACCAAAAAAATTAATTAAAATTACTTAAATTAAGGCTAACAAACTTAATATATTTAATTATTCTAAAAATAAGGCTAACAAAAAAAGTAAAACTTATTACCTTGAGTTCTTCACATGGCCGCTTGAAAAAACCGCAAGACACCACCACCGGAGTTGTGAGGGAGCTTGTAAAGGAGACCGGAGCAAATGAAGGAACTTGTGAGGGGCAAATTACGGAACTTGCGAGGAGCAAACGACGGTACTGCACCTAAACTTGTAAGGGAGAAAGGGAGAAGGGACGAAGAAAAAGAGGCCGGACCACCTAAGCTTGCAAGGAGAAAGGGTGAAGAGACAAGGACCGGCGACGGAGAATCAGAGGACCACCAGAGAAGATGAGATTGCGCTTTAATGGGGAACAGATCGAGTAGAGCAACGTACAACGTTGTAGGGAATATTTCAAGCATTATCTAAAATGTGAACCCCACTGTGATCATACACTAAAGTATGGTGGCGTCCAAAGGGAAGGAAGCTAGAGCAAAAGAGTCGCCAACAAGTTTTAGGAACTTGTAAACCGTTCACGAGGTGAAGGTTACACCCCTTAACGATCCAGGAGATCTTTAACTCCAACAGGTCTGGAACTAAGACTGGAAGTTCGGGGATGAAGGTACAAATCCAACCTAAAAGAGACTGAACCTGCCCTAATAATAGGCCTCTACTTTATTCTTCTCGTATTCATGTGCGCTTTCCGACTAACATGAAATCATTAGGTTAACCCTAAACCTGTTTAATCTATGTTGGTTGAATATTTAATGCACAAATAAACCTATTATTGGCGATCACTTGAATTATAATCAAATTAACCCAAACAAGATTATTAATTATCTTATTAAGTGTGATTAAAAGTACAAATTCCCTTTAAATATGCATAAAAGATGTGATCAAGCAATAACAATAAATATATATATCAAGCAACATCATAATCAAAATTATAACAATCATAATAACAATTATAACAATAATCATAAAAATTATAAAAATAATCATGTTAAAGCATAATAATAGCAAGATCCTGGGCATGATACTAACAAGATTAATAACAAACCCTAGCATGTCACTAAACAATAAAGATCAAAGCTTTAGCCCTAACATGATACTAACGTGCTATTAGGAAAGAAAATAGGAAGCATCATAGAAATCATAATTGATATAAGAAACTTATTCATTACCCTAAACATGGTATAAGAAGCAATAAAACATCCAAACATGATACTAGGAATCAAAATAACAATCTAAACATGATTTCTATATCAAAATATCAATTAAACAATTAAAGCACTTACTTGGATGCTTCGTACCTCTTTCTAATAACAAAATAAACACGTTAGTAACTTTAAGGAAAATAATAAAATCAAAGAATTAAATTAAATAATTGAAATAGAGATTTGGGACCAAACCCTCAGAAATAACCAAACCTTTCACGTCTATGGCGAAGGCAACTTCGAACTTGGCTAGGTGTCTAGTTGTAGGGAATAATTTTCAAGCTTTAATCCCACTAGCTTGAACACCACTGTGATAATACACTAAAGTACGGTGGCGTCCAAAAGGGAAGAAGATAGAGCAAAAGATTCGCCAAAAAGTTTTAGGAACTTGTAAACCGTTCACGAGGTGAAGGTTACGCCCCTTAACGATCCAAGAGATCGTCAACTCCATAAGGTCATGAACCAAATAAGGGTTCGGGGATGAAGGTACAAATACAACCTAAAAGAGATTGAACCTGCCCTAATAATAGGCCTCTACTTTATTCTGATCGTATTCATGTGCGCTTTCTAATTAACATGCAATCAATAGGATTAACCCTAAACCTGTTTATCTATGTTGTTTGAATATAATGCACAAATAAATTTATTATTGGTGATCACTTGAATTATAATCAAATTAACACTAACAAGATTATTAAATATCTTATTAAGCGTGATTACAAGTACAAATTCCCTTTCAACATGCATAAAAGGCGTGATCAAGCAATAACAATAAAAATCAAGCAACATAATAAATTAATTATGATCATGACAATAAAATTATAATAATAATAATCATAAAAATAATAATCATAATCACAATAATCATGACAATCATAAATCATAATTAAAATAATAATCATCATAATAACAATAATAATAGGGAAATTCTCACTGGTAGCCTTGTGTTTTTGCTTTTTCTCAATGGTAGCCAATTTTTTTCCAGTTCTCAATGGTAGCCTCAAACTTTTAAAAAGTTACAAACGTAACCTTATTGTTACAAAAACGTTAGTTGGCCGTTAACTTTTAAAAGTTACATTAATGATTTTGTGGTTACATTTAAATTTAGTCAGTAATTAAAACTCCCACCAACCCTCATTTAACTCGAAAATCTTTTCTTTCTCTTTCACTCATCTCATTCATCTTCTACCTTGGTTCTGCGTGAGGATTGCTATTTCTGGGAAGTTCTTTGGGGAAGGATTTCGGAAATTAAGAAGCGATTTTCTTATCCTTTGTTTGGAAAACGCAAGGTATGTACAATTATTCCTTCTTATTTTGTATAATTTTGGTGTTTGATGTTGCATGAGTTGTGAAATGGTTAAATCAAGTGAAATCGAAAAAATTAGGGTTTTTTGCTGAATTACGTAGTTGTATGTTGTTATATGTATAAATTGTATGTTTTTTTTGTTTAGGTTTTGCTGTTTGGGTTAATTTTGGGTAAAATTGCATGAAATGCGCAAGGTTGTATGTGTTTAGGGGTAAAATTACATGCGTTATGAGAAAGCTTGTATCTTGTTTTTGTAGATCATTTGTATTCTTTTTTTTAAAAAAAAAATTCATACTTAATTGTTGCAGAATGGATTATCCAGTGGTGCTTAAGTTTCAATATAAGCATACTGATGTTGAAGTTATTATAGATGACATTGATAAGGCTTCTCTGATTGATGTGATCGTAGACTATTTGGAAATATGTAGGATAGAGAAATTGGAAACACCTAGATACCCTAGGTTTGAGTATTGTTGGAAGATGAGACAATATGAGATTAGGAATGATTTTAAATTCATGGAAATGTTTGAGAGGCTACCTGGTAAAACTCTGATTTATATTTAGGTTGATAATGGTGAGTGTGAAACAGATATTGCACAAGCTGCATTTAATTTAAGAACTAGTAGGTTAGCAAAACAACTACATGAACAACGGGTAGAGGAAGGAAGAAAAGTTGTCAATGAACCTAATCAACATAGGAAAGTAGTAGAATCTGGACTAAAGGAACCACCAGTTAGGTATGTGCTTGGAGGAGGTGGAGATAAGGACAAAGCAATGGAATTAGTACCTTTGAATAGTACAATGCAGGCTAGGGAAAATCAAATTTTGCATCAGCAATTAAGTGATATGCAGATTGACCCTGACATGACAATGGCTGACATAGAATTAGAAAAAGAGATGTATAGGGACTCTTGCAGAGGAAAAGGTAGAGGAAGTAGAGGGAGAGGAAGAGGGGGGGAGGGAGAGGTAGAGGTAGCAGAGGGGGCAGAGGGAGAGGAGGCAGAGGGAGGGGTAAAAGTACTGGGTACACTTTTCAGCAGTGGTTGGGTATGGACAATCCTGGGGTTCAAACTCAAACCCAAATGCCTCCTGCAGATCACATCCCCAACACTGAATTACACACACCCCCAGTTCATGTGGTGAGGAGGAGCCCAAGAAAATAAGGAAAGAAAGCCCCAACCCCTGTTCCAGAAAATGCTGACCAATCACCAGTAGCTGAAATTCAACCCAACGATACTGCACACCTAAACCAACCCCCTCTTCCCAATGACCATGCTGACATTCAAACACAAGAAACCCCATTGCACCTTCTTTTAATCATACTCCATTCAACCCTACACCTGAAATAGGGGAGCAAGGAAAGGCATCAGGGTCAACTAGGTCTTCCCAAGCTTTCACTACTATTAAGAGGAAGATTCCTCTTACAACAGTTAGGAGGAAAGGGATAGTAATAGAGAATTCAGTCAGTGAGGGGAGCAACAGTCTCAGTCAAGGGGTTGGGAGTAGAAGGAGAAGGGAGGTCATTGTCAGTTTAGGTGATGACACCCTGATAGGGTTTGAAGATGATGATGAAGATGATTACATCCCTGATGATGATGTGGGAGTGCTGATGGATGATGATGATGATGATGATGAGAGTGTTGATGATGAGGATGATGAAGAAGAGATGGATGGGGCTGTTGCAATACATGACAATTTTGATCCTTTCACTGATGAGGTGTTTGATGATGGCAAAGATGATGACAATTATTTCATCAACTTATATAGGAATGGTGAGCTTTACAAAGATGCAGAATTTGGCAAGATTGTCCTTAAACCTTGGTTGTTATTTACTGATAAGCAACATGTGAGGGATGTGGTGAGGGATTATTGTATTCAAAGTGGCTTTTCAGTCATAGTTGAGAGGGCAACAAATAGCAGGTACACTGTCAAGTGTAGTGCAATGGGGTGTGAGTGGAGACTACACTCATCTCAGTTACCTGATGGAATTACATGGGCAATTAAGTCCATAAAAAATTCTGAACACACTTGTTCTGGGTTAGATGTGAATAACCCAATGGTGAACTGTGCATGGGCTACAAGGGTGCTGATGGAAGATGTGAGGGCCAACAATGATATATCAGCAAAGTCCCTAAATGCTATACTTTTCCAGAGGTATGGTGTTCAAATGGCCCAGAGTACACTTTATAGGGTGAGAACACATGCTTTAAATGAGATTCATGGGTCTCATGATGAAAGCTATGCCTTACTTCCCAAATACTGTGAGATGATAAAGAGCACAAACCAAGGATCTGATGTTCATTGTGCATGGGTTGAGCTAGCAGAACAGCCTGAGAAGCCACTAGTGTTCAAAAGCATTTTTGTTGCATTCAAAGGTGTCACAGATGGTTTGAAAGGGTGTAGGGGATTGATAGGTGTTGATGGTGCACACCTTAAGGGGAATCATGGAGGTGTTCTGCTCTCAGCTGTAGCCTTGGATGGGAACAATGAGTTGTTCCCATTTGCTTGGGCAATTCTAACTGCTGAAGACTCAGACAGCTGGATGTTCTTTGTCTGGCATTTGAAAAACCTGTTGCAAGGCTTGGGAAGGGGAGACAGTTGGTGCATAATTTCAGATAGGCAGAAAGTGAGCTTGTAGTGCTTTTCAAAAGTTATTTTTTGTTTATAATAATAGCTTGTTACACACTTAACCTGACTAAGCCATCATTTGCAGGGAATTGATGTGGCATTGACTGAGTGTTGGTCAGAAGTTGATAGGAGGTACTGCTGCAAGCACCTTTGTGCAAATTGGAAGAAATCTTTCCCAGGGCCATTGTTATTCTCTTTGTTTTGGTTGACTGTTGGGGCAAATTCAGAATTCACTTTTAGGAAAGCAATGGAAAAAATGCAGAAGGTTAACCCACCTGGAAGAATTTGGTTTTCAAAGTTAGGTGAACAAAAGAGGTGGACCAAACACAAATTCAACCCTGAATTGAAGTGTGATGTCAATAAATCTAATTTTGTAGAGAGCTTTAATGCCACTCTAGGGATAGATAGATGCAGGCCTGTCCTTACATTACTTGAAGGTATTGCATTATACATCAAATTACATCACTTGACTTATTGTTATGTATGTTTAACAATGATTGTCATGATTGTAGGCATAAGAAGAAACACAATGGTTAGGATAGCCACAAGGAGACAAGTATGTGAGACTTGGGAGAGGCAGGACATTTTCCCTAACATTGTCAGAAGGATTCAACAGCTCTGTCAAGAGAGTAGGACTTGCATACCATACATGTGTGGTGAAGGAGAGTATGAGGTAATGGATGGTAAGTCTACCCTTCCAGTGAGCCTAAACAAACACACTTGTTTGTGTAATGTCTGGCAGCTAACTGGAATACCATGTAAGCATGGTATTAGGGCCATAATTCATGCAAGGTTAGACCCCCACTCATTTGTAAGTGAGTGGTATTCTGTGAGCAAGTACAGAGAAGCATATAGCTCTGGTATTAGATCTATACCAGATGTAGAACAGTGGCCAGACATCAACATGCCAGCAATTAAGCCACCAACCATGAAAAGGGCCATAGGGAGACCAAGTAGGGAGAGAAAAAGGGTTGATGATGAAGATAGAAGGGCAAAAGGGCTAAGACAATCAGATGCAGTAAGTGCAATGCATTTGGCCACAATCAGTTGACTTGCAAAGGAAGGTTGATAGCAAAGCAAAAGAATAAGCAAAAAAAGCAACAGCACAAAGAGCAGCCTGCAACAACTTCTCAACCACTAACAAGAGGAAGGTCAAGATCTGTTGGGCCATTAGCTGCTTCCCAACCTTTTTGATTCCCACTCAAGTTCACATATATGTGATGTTTCTGTTTTAAAGTGAAAACAATTAGCTTTTAAGTCCTAGTTATGTGTATGACATTATTACTGTGTTTTTACTTTGTACTTTAGTGGATAGCAGTTGCACCTTTGCATCTTCGTCCATTGTTCAGCCATTGACACCAAACTGAAGTTTGCAGAAGAGAGAAAGTGTTTGGTGAGAGAGAGAGAGATACAGAGAAATAGAGAAACAGGGGATAGGAATGGGGTTTTATAAAAGAGGGAAATATTTTTTTTGGAGGGAAACTTTGGAGCCAAAAATATGGGCAATTTAACCTCAGTACATATATGTAACCGTAACTTTTAAAAGTTAACGGCCAACTAACGTTTTTGTAACAATAAGGTTACGTTTGTAACTTTTTAAAAGTTTGAGGCTACCATTGAGAACTGGAAAAAAAATTGGCTATCATTGAGAAAAAGCAAAAACACAAGGCTACCAGTGAGAATTTCCCATAATAATATTCATAATCATGTTAAAGCATAATAAAAATAGCAAGATCCTAGGCATGATACTAACAAGATTAATAACAAACCCTAGCATGTCACTAAGCCATAAAAATCAAATCTTTAACCCTAACATGATACTAACAATCATAAATATTAGGAAGAATATAGGAAGCATCATACTTTTAATCATACTTAATAATAAAATTACCCTAGACATGATACTAGGAATATCATAATAACAATATAAACATGATTTCTACATCAATAAATCAATAAATCATTAAAGTACTTACTTTGATGCTTCGTACCTCTTTCTAATAACAAAATACACACGTTAGTAACTTCAAGGAAAATAATAAAACAAACAATTAAATTAAATAATTGAAAGAGAGATTTGGGACCAAACCCTCAGAAATTAAACCTTTCACGTCTAGGGCAAAAGCAACTTCGAATATGGCTAGTTGTTTCTAGATCTTGTGAATGCGGAATTTTGTATGTGAAAACAAATTTTAGAGAAGAACGATGAATGAATGCTAATTAAAACTGATTGTAGATCATGAAAATTGGAGAATGATTAAGAGAGAATTAGAGAATTAATGATTGCGAATGAAAACTGATTGTTGGTGTATGTAGATGATAATTGATGAATGAAAACGGAGTTTTTAATACGATATTTATAAAGAAAATCAGCTAAAAAGATAAATTAAACAAAACAGAGTTTGACGCATAAAAAACAGAGCTGGCGCCAACCCTGGCTAGCTGGCGCCAGGCACCAGCACTAGCGCCAGGCCTGGTTCAAGGCGCCAAGGCCTGGGGTTAGGTGCCAAGCCTGATTTTAACGCGTTTTCGAAAATCAGATAAATTTGTCGTACTGGAGGATAAAATCATATAATTTCCTCGAAAATGCTATTTGATTTTAATTAAAACTCTGAAAAGTCAGAAAAAGTCAATTTATCAATGCTAATTGAATTAGGAATGAAAAGAACCTTCTCGAAGATTCTAGAAGACTAAAACCATTCCTAATTGCATTAGGAATGATAAATCATATTAGGCCCTCCCCTAGATCATTGGGTCGTATATAAAGCTCAAACCGGGCCCAGTTTAGTAAATTGGTCATAATTTCCTTAATATTCATCGGAATTGGGCTTATAATATATCGTTGGAAAGGTCTTTGCAAGCCCCATCCAACTATACTACTATTGGACCCATATCATGGACTGACCAAACTGGATTGGTTGTTTTCTTAAAATAAGTTTTCAAAAACAAACAGAAGAGAAAAGAAAATAAAACTTTCGCAACACTAGACTTTACACATTTTCACTTCATTCAATTATGATTTGACGTGAAAGGTACTCATCACCGGGTTTGGTTTTGGGGAGACACATTTGGGTGTCTACACTAGTGCTAATGTATAAGGAATGATGTTTGTAAAAGGATAGGTGTAGACACCTACTTTTGGCCTCTTGTTCCGAAAGGAAGTGCGATGATGTTACAAAAATCCATTCTTCATGTTATATCAAAGTTGAAGTGTTTATGGACTACGAAAAGCATTATGAAGTAAGTTAAAACCCATATTAGAGACCAAGTTATCTTAGAGCCTTGTCCGATTACTAATTAGGCCTAAAACATGTTCATACATGTTTAAACTCGATTTATAACGGACACAAATGAGTCAAATGTAATGATTGGATCCAATGGAACCTACATTATTGAAAAACCGAGCCAAACAAATGAACCAACTATAAAATTCCCATAAAAGGCCAATAAAAATGGATAGCTCTTTCAAATAGCTTTCCAACGATATATTATAAGCCCAATTTCGAGACAAAACGAAGAAGTTATGATCAAAACACTGAACCAGGCCCTAAAACCAACACCCTTTCACTCCAACGGCCATAACTTTTGATCCATAACATATTTTAACATAATTCCAACGAAATTGATTAGAAGACATTCATATTATGGAAGAAATTCACACTCCTTAATCCGACTCTGCAATCAATTAGTTACGCGCGGCACCTAGCGCGACTCAGAGAGTTGCGAGCGCCACCTGACGGCGTGGCTCTAAAACCCTAAACCTGGATCCCTACGCCTATAAATAGGGGTCTTCGTTCAGCATTACGGGGACCAAAAAATTCAGAATTAAAAGCCTAATATTCTCAAAACCCTAATCTCTCAACTTCTCTTACTATTATACTACTATTTCTTCTCTCATCCCAAATACTTTCCAACCCTAATTGAATCTATTGAAGTCCTTGGAGGTACGAAGAAGAAATAAAGTCCATAAACACATTAAACGGAGATTTAACATAAAAGAAGAACGGTTAGTTTCCTGAGCACTTAGATAAATCGCTTTTCCTTTATTGTTTAAATAACTTTAATTGAATAAATAGTGTTGTTTGATCACTTTAAACAAAATTTTAATTAATTAATTCACATAGTATTCTTTCGTTAATCAAGACTAGAATTTGAATAATTAATTGTTGTTTTACCACTTAAGACAAGGCGAATATTGCTTATTTATTGTTCTTTCACGAATATTGATTAAATAAGAATAACGACTTTTGCAATGTAATTCCTACGTGATTAATGCTTGTAAATAAAATCAACTAACTTAGTCTTTAAGTATCACGTTGCATATATTGTTTGGTAATGAAATTGTGAAAAAGGAAGAGCTAGTAGAGGTCGTACTAGGGCTAGAATAGCGATTCCTCCCTAAAAGGAACGCTATTTTAGTACCCTCGCTCCCGAACTCATTTCTGCTTTATGTAGACCAATTTGGGCATGGGTAAACTTATGATTCGTGCTAATTATTCCATGAACTCCACATGGAAGAAAGGCAAGAACGAGGTTTATGAGTTTTCCTAAAACTCATTGGCGACTCCTACTTGTTTCTTACAAAAAAGCGTGATGAGAGTATCATTTCTAATTCAAGGTCTCCCAAACAGTCAGGAATTCAAATCCTAATACACCCTAATAAGTGTAAAGTCCTAGGATTCTAAAGGGTCGATGGGCATCTAAGGAAGGACCCCCTTACGATGGGATCACCCTCCTTACACTAGGCTAGAAAGAGGGAGAGAGAATAAGCTTTAGCTTAGAGAGAGAGAAGAATTAGAGAATTCTGGCTAAGAGTTGATGAGAATTGATGAAAATTGATAAGAATTGACGAGAATTGATGAGAATTGACGAGAATTTATGAAAATTGACGAGGGCCTAAACACGCTATTTATAATGAAATAGTCCGGAATCGATAAAAAGAATCAGAGTTCGAAAGGAATAAAACACGCCTCTGTCGCCAACAACAGCACCTAGGCGACAGCCTGATGTTTGGCGCTGCAGAAGGTTTTTCCACGCTTTTTCTATTTTTTTGATAAAATCAAAGTCGTAAAAGTTCGTAATTTCACATAAAACAGTTCTTTTATTCCAAATAAAACTCACAAAACATAATTATCAATCCTAATCCCATTAGGATTCAAAAGAACCTTCTAGAAAACTATAATCAATCCTAATTGCATTACGAATGATAATTCATAATAGGTCCTCCTCTAGATCATTGGGCCGCATATAAGAATCAAACTGGGCCCAGTTTAGTATTTTGGCCATAACTTCCTCATTATTCATCGGAATTGGGCTTATAATATATCGTTGGAAAGCTCTTTTCGACTCCTATCCAACTAAACTATTATTGGACCCTTTTTATGGAACAAACTAAAAATATTGGCTATTTTCATAAAATAGAGTAAGTTTTCGAAAACAGGAAGAGAGATTTTTAATAAAAACTAACCGCAACATTAGACTTTCCACACTTTCACTTCATTCGATCATGATTCGACGCAAAAGGTATTCATCATTGGGTTTGGTTTTGGGGAGACACAAATGGGAATCTACAAGCGTGAGTGAGGGAAAATGAAAAAAGGGGATTGAAAAGATTTTAGGGTTAATTTTGAACATTTACTCGTAACGGACACTTTAAGTCCGTTACAAATAAGTCGGTCAATCTCGTTTTGACTTTACTTTTTGTAACGGACAGAAAATGTCCGTTACGAATAACTTAGTATTTGTAATTGTCAGTAATTGCCCGTTACAAATAAAAACTTATTCGTAACGAACAGAAAGGTGCCCGTTACGAATAAGTATTTATTTGTAACGGACACCTGACCGCCCGTTACAAATACTCATTTTTTACGCGGATTGAAATTTTTTTGTAACGGACCTTAATTTCTCCCATTACGAATGATGTTATTGTAACGGGCAACAACATGCCCGTTACGATTAAGCTGTTACAAATATACTTTTTTCCACTAGTGACAGTTTTTGATGACTGCCCCAGATTCGTCTTAGAATTCGCTTTGGACTTCATGACATTGGACTTCAGCAAGCCCTTGTCAGCCAGATGCTCCAAAGTCCTCTTGAGACTATAACAGTCGTTGGTGTCATGGCCCACCTCCTGATGGAAGTGGCAGAATCTATTCTTGTTCCGCGACTGAATGGAACTCTTCATAGGATTCGGCTTCTCAATAGTCAGCCGGTCCTTCACCTCTCTAAAGATGGTGTAACAGTCTTTATTGATTTCATACTGTGAGACATACGGTTTAAATTCCTTCTTCCCCTTTTTGGACGGCTAACCAGGTTCCTCTGCCCAGACTTCTTTTCTCTTTTTGCTCTCTTTAGCTTTCTGAGCAGACCGACTCTCCTTTTGCTTGTCAAACTTCTTGGAGTCCGACTAATGGCTGGACGAGAAGAGGTCGATAGCCTGAATAAAGATCTCCGCCTCTATCAACGCTTCTTGAGGGTGAATACCCTCTTTCGGATAAGGTCGAACTTAACGGTCGACCCGTCCTTCAGACCCTTAAAGAAGTCTGTATAGGCTACCTCATCAAACATCCCCTGGATTTGAATTCTCACCAGGTTGAACCGCCTGACATATGAGCGAAGTCCTTCTCTATCTCCCTGCTACCCGGTACTCAAGTCAAGACTTTTGGTGATCAGATCTTTTGAGCGTCAGGAGTAGATTTTTTGTTACCCACCGGTTGTTTCTCCCGGCAAGGATTTCTTGGATTCTTTTGGGGCAGAAGGATCTTGGACCAGTCTAGGATCTTGGCTGCCTTGTCCTTTAGATGCGGAGTTGGCTACCTGTCCCTAACTGGCTTCCTCCTCTATGGAGGAGTCTTCCTTGCCGACTGACCCTTGCTTGGGCCAGCCTTACTTTTGGTGATCAGATCTTTGATTTCATCCTTGAAACTAGTCATGAACTTCATGAGTTCGTCCTGGGTGAATGGGGCGGATCCGTTTGCCGTTTGGGTTTCCCCTTTCGGCTGACTAAAGGGCCTGCTTGTACCCGCCTGGCTTGCACCCCGCTCTAGAGTGTCTCTAGGACAGATGCACTTGGTGATTAGAGAGCCATATTTGGCTATGTATGTTTCGACTTGAGGATCATCATCCTTGTGGTCACTGAAGACCTCCGACTGATTAACCGTGTGGTCAGGAGGTGGTACAGACTCTTGAACCATCCTTGAGGTACTCTCACCACAGACGGGGCCAAATGTTTTGGGTGTTTTTGTCCCTCAGGAGAGTTACAGCTCAAGGACTGATCCGACTACGCCTGTACCTGCAAAACAACGGAGACTCCGGGTGTTTAGAGCTCCACCTTCGACGGTCAAGTTAGTACTTGAATGTGAGTAGGAGAAAGTGCGCAAAGTAAAATGAGATATTCTCGGATTCCGAGATCAGGTGCTCTCTGATGTGAGAGAATGTAGGATAGGTGTAATAAATGATTGAATGTGTCTCAATATTTGGGGAATATATCCCTATTTATAGGGTCATTGGAGAACGTGCCCCTTTGACAGGGTAAAGTCGTATCCCCAAATCAAAAGTAATTCCTAAATCCTCAAACTAATGTAGATAGGGAAGTAGGGTCAAATCCACAGAGAAACGGATCTTTCTATTCCTAATTAACTATTATAATCTAGATTATGAGGTAACCAATATTTATATTTTAATGATAAACTAAACTACGGAGATCAAGAATAAGGAGAAAATAATATAAAAAAGGATCCAGGGCATAGGTTCACCAATAAATAATATTCAAGGGTAGAATATAATAATCATTCATCAATGCATATACTAATCAGATTATAAAGGGCTTTCGCTACGTATTATAATCACACAATTAATTTACCGGTATTAAATCTCATCTTTCGAATCTCGACCTAACCATTTATAAATTAACCTGCCTATTGAAACTAGATTTAAACATCAATTCTCATCTGTCAAATCTCGAATCAATATTGTCAAACTCATGCATAAAAGATAAGGCCTAATCTAGTCACAGAGTATTAAATCAATCAATAGGAAATTAATCTAGCATTGACAATTAACAACAATAAATTACCCCTTCATATTATTTATGGATCCCATAAACCCTAGAAATAAAACTACTTACACATGATAGAAACTAAACTAATAAAGGCAATTAAAACAAACATACTCAAAACAATAATAATAAAACTAGTATGAATGAAACAAAAGCAATAATAATTAAGTTTAAATAAAAACATTCAACGAGCAACTTGAAGGAACGTAATAACTAATAAGAACGTAATAATCTTAATTCCCAGCACAAAACTTCAGAACTAATAATAAAAGCTTAAAAATAAGAAAGAAAAAGAAAAGAAAGCTGCGTGAACTAATCCTAAAGTCAACTAATACTCAAGAAAAAAAATTATGAGTTTTTTTCCTAAAACTATCCTAAAAGCTCCGTAAAAGAAAACAAAGAAAAAAATCTAAAACACTGCCCTTGGTTGTTTCGAACTTCGGTTTATATAGCAAATCGCCAAACCGATCGGGCCCTTAGTCCATCCGATTGGGCCCGTCAATTTCGCCTAAGTTGGCAGCAACAAGTATGCTTCTTGGGTTATAAATTGGGCTTCATACGAATTGACCCATTATCCTTTGCCTTGATATTCGGTATTGGACTTGTAATATAATTAGTACTCTGACGAACCAAGCCTTTAATCCTCGAATCAAATTAGTTAGCTCGACTTTAAGCTTCAAATATACGGTTATAAAATACGATCCGACTCTAATGTCTTCATAGTGGCTTAATAAGCTTAGGAATTATCACAAATCTGCAAATTCCTTCAAAATAATACCAAATCTATAAAAACACTAGAAAACGTATATTAGTAATAAAAATAGCTCCACAGAGCTAAAATAAGAACAAATATGACCGTGAGACGGGGAATAAATATATATATATATATATATATATATATATATATATATATATATATATATATATATACTCATCAAACTCCCCCAAGCAAACCTTTGCTTGTCCCTAAGCAAAGCAATGAATAAATAAATCAATACTTCACCCCAATTAAAGTTAAAATCAATAAATATAATTCAAGGTAAATACGACAAATATGTATCAAAGTCAATCAATCAAATTCATCCAACTACCAATCTTCCCTAACAATTGTCAAATAGAGCAAACCACAAGAGCATATAGAATTCAAGACTAGTGCTCACACACTCGACTCTCATTTATGTGGCAAGTAAAAGATGTACTTGATCGCTCTCCAACCAACCCCTTTAATATGAACAATGCCCTCCCAAACTCACAACACTCGTGTGTTTAAAGAGATAAGCACTCAACCTTAATAGTCGACTCGGAATATGTCAAGTCATAACTTGCATTGATAAACAACACTTTCACATCCACACAACTCTATGCCCAAGGTCGGAAGGTCTTTAAAGGTTGTAATGTAAGGCTAGGGTAGAGGGTAGGATATATTTGGGAATATGTGAGAGAAAAGCTATGCTTTAAGGGAGCCAAATCCTAATAAAACCCATGATAAAAAATAAATGATGATCATACATCTCCAACATACCAACTCTAACAAAAATCCACCAAATACAACTCCAAAAAATATAAACAATCCCAACTCTTACAATTTCACTCATAAAAATATAATAATGTAGAGCTAGAGTGAATAAACAAACTCTAAACAATCAAACTTGAAATATTTTCATTGAAACTCAATTTTTTCTTTCTTTTCTTTTGATCAACCTTCACTTAGAACACTTGAACATTAAACATTTTTATTTCCTTTTTGCTCTTTCCTTTTTTTTTTCTTTTGAAGTTCACTTTTTTCATTTTTTCTATTTTTTTTTCGAACTTCTTTTTTTTCATACCATCATACTTTATTTTTTCAAGACAATTCAACTTTCAAACTCATCAAAAATAAAATACGATCAAGAACAAATAACTTCTCGAAACCCACCCAAATTGTGCAAATAATAAGCACACTACAAACTCCCTCACCTCACTCACTAATAGCTCCCCCAAGCCAAGCTTGGGACTAGTAACCAATGGGGCAAAAATGGCTTGTAATGTGGTTAATAAACAATAAAAGGGCACAAGCAACAACATGGGTAGCAAGAGGGGAACAAATGTATCTAAATTATCTGAAGGCTACCTAAAAGAATGAACGCCTTCGTCCTCCACATGTGCATAATAATGAGCCATGAAACACTACTCATAGTTGCAAACCAATACTCAAATTCATTAACATACAAGGAACTAACACACATTCCTAACCAAATCAACTAGTCAAGCACTATATTCACAGGTAGTTGGACAAAATTGACGCATGTTAAGGCATCTAAGCAATCAAACTTCAAGTCATGATCAACTAATCCACAATATTTATCATCAATAACCAAGAATCAAAATAATTTTCTTGAGTATGGGGCACAGGGAAGCATGATTTATAATTCATTAGAACGTATTTTTGGATATTTTAATTTTTCATTTTTTTGTATTTTTCATATAGGAAAACAATAAAAATACACTAGAAAGCAATAAATCTATACTAATAAAGCATTAAAAACTAAACTAAGCACACTAAAGAAAATAAAAAGAAAAGGGAAAGAAAGAGTACCTATATGTAAAAGAAATCCCCCCCCAAGCTAAATCAGACAATGTCCTCATTGGCTTAAAGGGAAACAACCTCATCATTAAACTCGTATCCACCACCATCCCAAACATTGCAATGCATCACCTGGGTACAAATTTGAACAAAACAGAAACAAAGTGTTAGTAAGAGAAGAAGCAAAAACGAGTCAGGTCCACTATTTTGCTCATAACGTTTTATACAAATAATAATTAAGTGATTCCAATTCCATTGGAAAGTAGACTTGAAGAGCTTTCCATTGGTAGGTCACACGCAAAATTTCGTTAAGGAACGTTAGTTATGGCCAGTCGAAGTTGAGCAGTTTTGCCGTTGCGCTCTCGCGCCCGATCGGGCGAGCGTGGCCCGATCGGGCCCGACTCTAAGGTCCGAACTGGCATCCTCTTCTTACTTACTGCTCGAAATTATTTACTATATTTGATTTCCATTGTTTTTCCACAAGATTGAGCATTTATCACTCGATCGGGTGAAACTTTCACTACGGGCTCAAACTCTACAACTTGTTTCTCAATCTCCACTTGTTCATCTTCAAACCCGAGTCCAACACAATTTAAAGCTCTTTCTATAGCATCCACTTCATCTTTCCATGTACTAGTTTTTCCTGCAGAAGATGCAACACAAGATACCGCCTCCAAGGGATCTCTAACGGGAGCTTGGGGCTTATTAGAAAAATTATGTACATCAACCACACCAATACTAAAACACTTTTCCTCTACCATTGGGCTTTTAGGGACATTATTTATATTAAAAGTAATATTATCATCCCTACACATAATGTAAGTTTACCACTCTTGACATCTATTATTGCCCCTGCAGTATGAAGGAATGGTCTACCCAAAATAATCAGAATTTGCAAATCTTCCTTCATATCAAGAACAACAAAATCAACAGGTATATAAAATTTACCTACTCTAATAGGGACATCTTATAAAACACCTATAGGGTATTTAACAGAACGATCAGCCATTTGCAGAGTAATATTGGTAGGTTTTAATCTACCCATATTTAATTTAGAGCTCACAGATAATGGCATAACACTTACACTAGCACCCAAATCACATAAATTTTTTCAATCATCAGATTACCAATATGACATGGAATAGAAAAACTACTCGGATCTTTTAGTTTAGGTGGAGATTTATTCTGTAATATAGCACTACATTCTGCAGTAAAAGCAACAGTCTCTATCTCACTAATAGATCTTTTTCTAGTCAAAATTTCTTTCATAAATTTAGAGTATGCAGGAACTTGAGTAATTAAATCTGTGAAAGGAACTGTTACATGCAAATTTTTCACAACCTCAAGAAACTTACCAAATTCCTTATCCAACTTACTCTTTAAATGTTTATTAGGGAATGGAAGTTTGATAGCAAGACCCTGCACATCTCCACTCTTATCTTGGGGTTTACCCTGCAAAGAATTATCAGAAAAGTTAGTTTTACCCTATAGCCCTGCAGGGCTAGTAACAACATTGTTTGGTTTAACAGAATCAAGATTAGCAATTTTTGTTGCAGGTTCATCATCTTTGGGCATAGGAGGCCCATCATAGTGTGAACCACTCCTCAGAGTAATTGCATTTGCGTATTCTGTTGTTTGTACTGCCTGTGATGGTAGGGCTCCCTGCTGGCGAGTTTGCAGAGTAGAGGAAAGTTGCGCAATCTGAGTGTCTATTATTTTATTATGTGCTATTAATGAGTCGATTTGCGTATCTCTACTCTGCATCTGCTTATGCATATTGGCTAACATCGTTTTGATTTCTGATAGGCCATAATCAAATGGAGGAGTAACAACATGTTGTGGTCTCTGATGTGGAGGTTGGTAGTACCTCTGTTGTGGTTGTTGTACCTGTGGTGGAGGGTTAAGCACATTCGTACTATTGTACGACATATTTTGGTTATTTTTCAACCTTGTATTGTAGGTGTTAGAGTATGGACTAATTTGCTTATAGGTTTGAAAAGCATTAATCTTCTCAATTGAACTCCTACAGTCATGTGCCCAATGACCTACAAGACCACAATTTTCACAAAATATTGTAGAGTTAGTACCAATAGCAGAAACATTAGCAACAGAAGATGAATTATAATTATTAATACTGTTTAGTTTCTGGCTAATAGAAGTCAATTGTGTCTGCAAAAAGGATATAGAATCGACTTGGTGTTTTCCCTTGTTTGCAAACCCTCTGGGATTCCCATATTGGGAATTATGAATAGTCATCTCTTCAACAACTTGTCCTACATCTTCCACATTAAGATTAATGAATCTCCCACTAGTTGCAGAATCTAGAATTGATCTAGATGAATTTCCAAGTCCATTGTAAAAGGCTTGGATCAACTGCCATTGTGCCATATTATGGTGGGGGCATTCTCTCTGTAGATCCTTGAACCTCTCCCAAGCCTCATATAGAGTTTCATCGGCCTCTTGGGCAAAGTTTTGAATAACACTCCTTAGTACAGTTGTTTCTCTGCAGGGTAATATTTATTATAAAAATTCAAGGCAAGAGTTTCCCAGTCAGTAATACCAAGTGCAGTTCTATTCAAACCATTAAACCATAATTTAGCTTTTCCACATAATGAAAAGGGAAAAAGAATCTCCCTAATTTGGTCCTGCGTGACCCCGGCTTGTCTAATGGTGTTGCAATACTGGCAGAAATCTGCAACGTGAAGATTAGGATCTTCACCCTTAGCTCAACTGAATTGCTTCCTCTCTATTATAGTGGGGTTTGATCTCAAATTGAACTCCATCTAGAGCCGGAGTGGGAGTAAGATGCGGGAAATCTGTGAGCTTCGGCTGCGAGTAGTCGCTAAGCTTGCGAACAGGAGGAGGTGGTGGTGGTGTAGTCATCTCTGATTCTTGATCTGTACTAAACAAATAAATATGAGAAACTGTCCCAAAGAAATTACGTTCCATGAGACAAAAAAAAATAAATAAATAATAAAAAATAAAAATAATAATCTAGACTAAAAAAATTAATCAGAAATAAAAATAAAACCGTCTCCCCGGCAACGGCGCCAAATTTTGACAGGGTAAAGTCGTATCCCCAAATCAAAAGTAATTCCTAAATACTCTAACTAATGTAGATAGGGAAGTAGGGTCGAATCCATAGAGAAACAAATCTTTCTATTCCTAATTAACTATTATAATCTAGATTATGAGGTAACCAATATTTATATTTTAATGATAAACTAAACTACGGAGATCAAGAATAAGGAGAAAATAATATAAAAAAGGATCCAGGGCATAGGTTCACCAATAAATAATATTTCAGGGTAGAATATAATAATCATTCATCAATGCATATACTAATCAGATTATAAAGGGCTTTCGCTACGTATTATAATCACACAATTAATTTACCGGTATTAAATCTCATCTTTCGAATCTCGACCTAACCATTTATAAATTAACCTGCCTATTGAAACTAGATTTAAACATCAATTCTCATCTGTCGAATCTCGAATCAATATTGTCAAACTCATGCATAAAAGATAAGGCCTAATCTAGTCACAGAGCATTAAATCAATCAATAGGAATTAATCTAGCATTGACAATTAACAACAATAAATTACCCCTTCATATTATTTATGGATCCCCATAAACCCTAGAAATAAAACTACTCACACATGATAGAAACTAAACTAATAAAGGCAATTAAAACAAACATACTCAAAACAATAATAATAAAACTAGTGTGAATGAAACAAAAGCAATAATAATTAAGTTTAAATAAAAACATTCAACGAGCAACTCGAAGGAACGTAATAACTAATAAGAACGTAATAATCTTAATTCCCAGCACAAAACTTCAGAACTTATAATAAAAAGCTTAAAAATAAGAAAGAAAAAGAAAAGAAAGCTGCGTGAACTAATCCTAAAGTCAACTAATACTCAAGAAAAAAATTATGAGTTTTTCTCCTAAAACTATCCTAAAAGATCCGTAAAAGAAAACAAAGAAAAAAATCTAAAACACTGCCCCTGGTTGTTTCGAACTTCGGTTTATATAGCAAATCGCCAAACCGATCGGGCCCTTAGTCCATCCGATTGGGCCCGTCAATTTCGCCTATGTTGGCAGCAACATGTATGCTTCTTGGGTTATAAATTGGGCTTCATACGAATTGACCCAATATCCTTTGTCTTGATATCCGGTATTGGACTTGTAATAAAATTAGTACTCTGACGAACCAAGCCTTTAATCCTCGAATCAAATTAGTTAGCTCGACTTTAAGCTTCAAATATACGGTTATAAAATACGATCCGACTCTAATGTCTTCATAGTGGCTTAATAAGCTTAGGAATTATCATAAATCTACAAATTCCTTCAAAATAATACCAAATCTACAAAAACACTAGAAAACGTATATTAGTAATAAAAATAGCTCCACAGAGCTAAAATAAGCACAAATATGACCGTGGGACGGGGAATAAAAATATATATAAAATAGACTCATCACCCTTTTAGGTCATTTGACCTAGATTTGGCGGGCTGCGCCATTTTACGACGTTCTTGGAAGTTGGGCCTTGAAGGCCGCAATTCAAGAAGCATCCGAGGTTGACACGTGTTAGCTGCCAATTGGCCCAAATAGACCTGCCTAGGCTTGACACGTGGCCCTCTCTGATTGGTCCACGTGGAAAGGGTAATTTTACCCAAAACAGAAGCCAATAGGTGGAGGAAAGAATAGAAAGGCATTAACCTTTCCAATTCTCGTGTCAATGTAAGAAGGTAATGATGGTTTTTCGTTTTCCAATGCTACAAATCAGCTTTTCCTTTTTTTAAAAGGTAAAAATTGCAGTAACCGGTTGGAGCAAGTAGCCACCGATTTTTTTTACCTACAGTGAAGGTTTCATTACCTTCTTTGCAACTATTGAAACTTCAATACCTTGTTTGCAACTTTTGCCAAACATCAATACCTTCCTTTCTCTATTCACTCCGACCTAAACTTTTTTCTTTTTAATAGAAATCTACAATAGTACAATGTAATTAGTTCTATAGTAATATGTAATGTTAGAATTTTAAATTTTTTAGGAATTGTTTGTATGATCAACCCCGTTCACTCCACCTTATTTTTGTTGAATTGAATTCATTTTTACTGAACTAAATTTATTTTTGCTGAACATAACTTATTTTTACTAAATTGAAATTATTTTTGTTGAACTGAATCTATTTTTTATTGATTTTTTTATTATATTTCTTCTTTAAATTTACTGATTTTTATTGAATTGAAATTATTTTTACCGATCTGAAATTAATTTTAATGAATTGAAATTATTCACTTAGGGTTCGTTTGGCATTGCTGTGGTTTTCTGTTTTTTGGTTTTTTGTTTTCTAAAAGTATATGATATGAATCCCATAATGAATCAAAAATTATATAAACTTATTAAAATTATGATAATTTTGAAAACTGACAACAGAAAAGTGGAAACACCTTTTTCTTGTTTCCTGTTTTTAGTTTTGGTTTTAAAAAAACAAGAAACTGAAAACCAAAGCTGATGCCAAACAAGCCCTTAATATTTTTTTTTTTTTTTTTATAGTGTAGTGTACGAGACCTAAGTGTAGTTAGAGTATGTATTTTAATTTTATTAATGTTTTTTTTTTTTTGTAATTCCGATTTTTTTTTTTTTTTTAAAAAAAAAGAAAAGGCGTACACTATTTTTATCTTACCCGCGTTTATCAACAACATCGGCAAGCTTCCGGCCCATAAACTCCCAACTCCCCCAAACTCCACAACTTCCCACACCACCATTCTTGTAACTCATTTCCATCACTCCATTACATTTGTGCTTGTGTTCTCCTTTAAAATCCACATGAGCTATTCAAATCTCTAGAATTCTTGCCGCAGGAAAGAGGATGATGGCGGTTCGTGCTGTGAATGGCTGCGCTATCATTCGGCCATCTGCTTGTTCTTCCCCTTCTCTCTCTTCTTTGTTTTGTTGTTTTCATCAATTACGACCTCAGACTCGCTCTAAATTAGGGTTCATTTCGTCTAATTGCCGTTTCAAGCTTCAATTCAATGGTTATGCCGGAAAATTTGGGGTTTTTGCGGTTCATAGTTTGGTCGATAGTGTATTGGAGGAGCTTCAGGAAAGGCGTAGGACAAGACAAATTCGAGCTTCGAACAGGTAGTATGTTTGTATTTCATTATTATTTTAATTCGCAAAATTTTTTGTTTTTGCTTAAAAATTTGGAGAATTTGAATAAGATATTGTGAGATAAGTTTCTGCTGCTTGGAGTTTTGGTGGAATTTGTTTGTTTTTTTTTTTTTTAAAATTGAATTTATTGGTTGTTCTACCTGAATCAGGTTTATCCTTTGATGATATTTGATTTGTTTAGTTAGTTGCTTACTGTTATGTTGTGCTAGCGGTGTTGATATGGAACGAATGGATGAAATTACATGGAATTGGTAAGCCAACGTTTTGAGTTAAAGATCGTCATCAAAGAAATTGGGGGATGCAAAATTTATCAAGAATTGAGTTACTTTGATAGTTTGATTGATGGCATTGTTTCAGGGTTGATTTGAGTGGTTGGGAGCAACTTGAAGTGAAACGATGTAACTTACTGAACCATGGGTGAATTTGTTTACTAGCTCGGTTCCATTTGGATTTATATGCCGTGTCTAGTTGTAGAGGTGGTGTCTGAGTAGTATTGTAGTATATCTGTTAGATAAGGGAAGAGACGACCTATCCCAGTGTTGAGGGATGCAGTTGTGAGTAGTGGATTTAGTGAACCTTCAGACGGTTGAAAGAGAGGTTTTTTTGTGTCTGTTTGAGAGTTGAGAAGTTTATTAGCATCTGTTTAGTGGTTCCTGTTTGTTAGCGTTCGTAGATTAATTGGACTATGGAATTATGGATGGCAAAAATTGCCATGCTTTTTATTTATCTGTCATGATAAGTTTATAAACTGCCAATTTTGCCGGTAAGGAAGATTATCCCGAAGGCTTATACAGGGAAGTCCTGTTAAGATGACAAAAAGTTAGATTTTTTTTTTTCTAAATATATATTCCGGTTTCCGAAAGCTCAACTCGCTTATTGTAGACTTTTGATTTTGAAAACTTTGTAAAAAGTGAGTGGATGATGTGTTATCCAATTCCTCCTTTAGAAGATCAACCAGTATGATCATCAATATTTATCTCACAATCATCAAGGGATGTATTGTTTTTAGTTTTTACCACTATCATGCTCTTCATCATATTCTGGCCATTCAGCGTCTTCATCATCTTCAATGACTAATCTCATATATTCATGTAAAAGGTTAGCCATAGTATTATTCTGTGTTATAGTTGAAGTATTAAACTCCTACACTGGCTCTCTTGGTTTTAAAAGGCGTGAGGCGCACCAAGGCGCAAAAGGTCCCTAGAGCCTAGGCAAGGCTCAGGCACGCACCTTTCGTAGTCAAGGCGCACCTTAAGACCCTAAAACCATCCAAAATGATTTCTAGACTAATATTGTACTTAAAGCAACATATCACATCTATTATAAATGCATAAAGGGAAGCGTAATTTGACAAAAATCATCGCTAACTCATTAAAATGCAAAAGTATTAGAGAAGTACTTAGAGACTAGTTAGAGTAAGACATAATTAGCATAGTTTAATTAAAAGAGAGAAAGAAAAGCAAACATAGGGTAGTGGATGGTCTCCTAAAGCACTAAAGAGTCTCTAAATCAACATCAAAGTCTTCAACATCTTCATTATCCGCATCTTCACCAATGTCCTCCTCCCACTCATCATCATCATCATCATCATCAATCACCATTGGTCCCTTACCTTTATTCCCTCTAGATGATGATGGAGCATTGTTTCTAATCCTTGATGCCCCTCTAGTAGCATAGGAAGGCTCATTAGCCCCGGTGGCTTTACTTACCGCACTCCATGTCAAGTCATCACCTTCAAATACAAGTTCTTCCTCCAAGTTTTCATCCATTTTCCCAAGTAGCCACTCATTACTTTCATCATTATCATCCAAAAGAATGGGGTCAATGGTGTTTCGCCTCTCATATCGGCGTTGCAAAGTTCGATTATATTTGACATAGACCATGTCATTAAAACGAGCTTGTGCCAAACGATTTCTTTTCTTGGTATGGAGCTGCGAAAAAAATAAATTTTTACTTTATTAGTCAAAGGTTGTTATGAGCTATAAACATTATAATACTAAGGGTAAAACTTAAAGTGTACATACATGTTGAAAAACTCCCGTTAGTGTACATACATGTGAACAAATATACATAATGGCGCACCTATAATATTTCACTCTAACGGTAGCATATTTGTTCACACCTATAATATTTCGTTTTGAGTGACAGTTAATGATCTCTTGCACAATTATTATTTACTCATTTAGCAATTATCAAAGAAAAGGTCTAGCTCCCTACTGATTAGGTGCTTCTCTTTGGAGGTTGGTTTTAACGAGCAGTGGAGAGCTTCTTAAAGACAAGCTTGAAAAGCAGGGACTTCGAGGCGGTTTGCTGTTAGAGTTTAAAAAGGATTCCGAAAGGGTTTTGCTAGCAGTTGCTCAGAAACCTGATGGGAAGAAGAACTGGATGGTGTCAGATCAGGTTCATATACATGAAGAATATATTAAAAACTTAAAATTCTGAGCATATATCATTTTTTTTTTTGCTTCAAAAGCAAGAAAACTTATTGTATACTTGTTTTTCAGAGTGAATTGATTTATCCTTCCTTTATTATTGGTTCTTCACTCATTTCCCCCTAATTTCAAGCAGAATGGTACATCGTGCTCTATAAAACCACAGCAGATAACTTATGTTGTTCCTGGTGTTGAGAATTTTGACCATACCCAAATTTCAGAGTTTATGCAGAAAGCTCAGGATAACTTGGTTAGTCTGGTCCTGTAGTGAATTACCTTGAGTACAGTGTGCTTATTTTTTTGGACCTAAAAAACTAATTGATCAAATGTATTAATTTATGTAGGATTCATCTCTGCTTGAGCTTGCCTGGGCTGAGCTGCTTGAGAAGAATAAGTCAGTGACTCCAGAGGAGTTGGCAGAGGTACTACATATCTTTGCTTCATAGGATTCATCTCTGCTTGAGCTTGCCTGGGCTGAGCTGATTTATAGTTGATGTTGACTATGTGAGCTCATTATACAGATGATTTATGGAATTGCTGAACCACTTGAGAGTTATTGTGCTCATCTCTTGCTGTCAAAGGATGAAATCTACTTCTCTGTGCTGGAGAGTAAAGGTTATTGCTCTGTTTACACTCCTCGGTCTACTGATCAGGTAAACCATCTGATTCATCCTTTTTGCTCTAGATATTCTGTATTTTTCTTAGGTTGTTTAGCCTTTTTCCCTCTTGTATACTTCTCCTGTGAGTCTAGCTTGGCTCTATAAAATATTATTTTCTCATAATCATTTGGACTGGAAGTGGTACAATTGATGAGCATAGCATTGATTTATATTTGAGCTCTATATAATATACCGTACACTCTTTGAGATTTAAATTTATTTTCTTTATATATGCTGTTTGTGCTGGTGCATGATACTGGCTGGGGTTTTCACCTTATTGAGGTTACTGCTGATTTTTGTACCTTCTATATTGTTTGACTACCTTTTTAAACTTCTCATTCTCATGGATCATTATATTGCAAGTAGTCTTTGATGTGAGGGAACAAACTCACCCCCTTAAGGCTGTGTTTATATCATCTTATTTTTGCTTATTTGATGATCTGGACTCGTAGGAAGATTGGGAATCTTCAGAGAGAACACCCTAGGTGCAGAGCTGACTGATGAGTCATTAGCCATTTTTTTAAGGTTAAACTCGCATGTGACACCTTTGCATGAACTTTGCAATGCCTTGTAATCTTATTACGAAATTTGTACTTGCAGCTTGATGATGCACTTACTACACTCTCTATTTGACCATACTTTTACTACACTCTCTATTTGACCATACTTTTACTACACTCTCTATTTGCAAAATATATTTCCTCAATATGCACTGCTTTCTGTCCGTCTGTCTATATTGGTTTGTTTTTGATGGTTACTAGATGGAATATTATCTCATGAAATTCTAGGTTGAGGAACTTATGAGGAGGAAACTTGCCAAGGAGACTGCTGAAAAGGAATTTCAGGAGTTCATAGACTTATTATATTCTGCCAAAGCAAGATCTATGGATGCGAAGCTTCCTAGGTCCTCGTGGAAATCAGAGGACAGAATTTGCGATCGTATTGAGGCTCTAGCTGCTTATGCAGTTGAATCATTCTGCAGTGATACCCAGAAGAGAACAGCTGGGACGGTAATTATTCTACTTGAGAACAGCTAAATTCCACAATCCCTTGCAACTGTCAGAGCTTATTGATTATAATAAATATGTTCTGTCTGACCTAAGTACCTAATTAAACAGTCCAATTTTTGTGTTAAGTTGTCCTAATATAGATTTGTCTTTTGTAAGAGGAAGTAAAATTTCAACCTATTTGAAAAAGTGATTACAATAGGTATATTTCAGAAGTTCACTTTTTGCTGTCATTAATTGCTTGTGATCATGGACCAAGATTTTATCTTGAACTTCTTTAGTTGATATATTCATGTGCTCTTACTCTTCTAAACATCTTGTTCTTAGTTGTACTTCCTTTACACAATATATAACCTTTCCTCTCCGTTTAGATATTATGAAATGCTGATATAACAAAATCTGTCATTCATAATCTACTGCATATACTTTTCTCCCTCATAAAGCTAATCTAGAGGATTGGTGCTATCAAACAAGATATGTAGCCATATATCCTATCTGACTATATTTAACTATATTCAAAATTTGACAAGCAAGAATGGAAGGACTGCTTTATTGCGGCAGAGTGGTTATTCTTTTGGCATTTATATGCAGTCTGTACTCGATAAACAAAACATGTATTCTATGCCATGTCTAATGCTAGTAAACATCTCTTTTCAGATTCTTACAGCCATGGGGTTGGCGAAAACACCGTCATCAGCATTAAATCTTCTCATAGATATTGGTTATTTTCCAGTACATGTTAATCTTGATCTGTTGAAGCTGAACATTCGCACCAATCACCCAGAAGAAATTGTGTTGGCTGCTGAAGATTTGCTGTCAGAATCTCGTGATATTGATGAGGTAATTTTTTATGATCGTCTCCTAAAGAGGTCAAATAATGTATTTATGCCCAAAAAGGTTAATTAAAGTATTTAGGTAGTAGCTTTGAGTGACGATTTCTAAGGGAGTTGTTTCACTTCTTGCTGGCTTATTTAGGAGAGGAGAGGTGTGGTTATTCTTTTTTTTTTTTTTTTTTAAATATTTTTTTAAAATTTTTAATTTTAATTTTTTTTAATTTTTTTTTTTTATTTATGTATTTTAAATCTGTTTCCAGTGTGCTCTATGACTTACTCGACCACATTGCTTTCAGATTCGAAGGAAAGACCTTACTCATTTGAAGGTCTATGCCATTGATGTAGACGAGGCTGATGAGGTAATTGTAATTCGAATATGATAGAATCATCTCCATCTTACACTCCATCTGACACACATACACACACACACACACAGACAATGAATTTGAAGAAAGAATGACTTGCCAGAACAAAGCACAGGTTCTGCAATGTCTTGCTTTTGACGGTGAGAACTTGTTGGCGGCGGCCTCTGAACTGTGATCGAGATGGGAGAGAGACAGAGTATTGTAATGTTCCCGTTCACAAAATGGTTTCATTACTCTGGCATTTTGATGCTGAAACGAACACAATGCATTTCGAAACATGTCACAAATCTCAGATCTGGATATTTTAATTAGAAGAGTGTCTCGATTGCTAGGTGGTTACTTCTGAAATGTTTTACTTGCCAATTGTTGGCGTTATGAAGTGCAAACCTTGAACCATGAAGTCAGCAATGTTTCCCTACTACATAGCTACCCTATTTCCTTCAGCTCACCCAAATTTTTAAGTAAATGGGAGTGTGGTTAGACTAACTTTGTTTATGATATTCATCAACTTGTGATTACATTATTATTAATCTGTCTTCTTTTTGCTCATTCGGTCATTCCTCAAATCCCAATCAGTTCTATCAATCCTTATATATATATATATATATATATATATATATATATATATATATATATATATATATATATATATATATATATATACCCTTCACAAATTTTTATCGGTTTAAAGATCCTGCTTGTTGAATAGGTACTGGGACTCTCAAGATTCTGTCAGCTGAAAAGCTATACATTTTTCCTGCAAGTGCATCTACAATTTCTTGTGTTTATGAAATTATGATACTTATTGAAGTCAGCATTCTCTTGATGTTAGATAAACTTTTCTTTGTCTCTGCTTCCACAAGTAATGGTGCTCCATCCGTTTTCTCAATTACATTAGTTGCTTGCTGTAGTACAGTAGGAGGACTCTAACAGAAGTCTTCTACAGCACCTTCCCTTCATCATTTTGCTTATCAATCTGTTGGGTCGCTTCTCTTATGGAGTTGTTTTTCACTATAGGTTGTGGGTCTATACCTCACTATATCTTGCTTAGCCACAATCATATATTGAATTGATTCATGAAGCTCTGTAGTGGCTAGTGACATTTGTTTACAAGCAAATAAAGTTTGAAGTACATGGTAGCTTATTATTCTACCGACAAACGGACTTCCAGAGTACTTGCAGTTTGACTGAACGTGTTATTGCTCTAAACCCCTAACAACTCGTAGGAAGATTGGGAATCTTCAGAGAGAACACCCTAGGTGCAGAGCTGACTGATGAGTGATTAGCCATTTTTTGAAGGCTAAACTTGCATGTGACACCTTTGCATGAACTTTGCAATGCCTTGTAATCTTATTACGAAATTTGTACTTGCAGCTTGATGATGCACTTAGTGCGGCAAGATTGCAAGATGGACGGATCAAAGTGTGGATACATGTGGCAGATCCAACCTGCTTGGTTCGACCTGGAAGCAATCTTGACAAGTAATCCATGCACCCATTTGACATATCCATTGATACTGTTCTACTTGCTCTTTCCTCCTCCATATATTACTTTATCTTTTAAATGTTAATGTCTTTCTTAACTTCGTTTAATTTATTGAGACCTGCAGAGAGGCCATGAGCAGAGGAACTACTATATTTCTTCCTACAGCTACTTATCCTATGTTTCCAGAGAGGCTTGCAATGGAAGGAATGAGCTTAAAACAAGGGACCAAGTGCAATACCATGACAGTATCGGTTGTTCTACATTCTGATGGCAGGTAACCATTTTGTTGATTGGTTGATGCACATCTCTTTCTATCTGGTTGCCCACTTTTCTCATCTGGGTTAGAAATATGGACAAGTCTGTTCCATGTGACTCTACATGAATCACAACTGTAATCCCCGGTTTGACTTCATTCATTTATTTTGAATAACATTGGTGCATGAAGATATGTTGTGATAATTTTTTGGGTTTGTTTAATTATTTGCAGAATACAGCTATCTTCTGATACTATGTTATCTCAACATTAGGAATTCAGGACACCCATCTACCATTCAAGCACTAACTTCATAGGGAGGCATATGAGCTAAGGGTTATGAATTTCTTTTATTATACCTATGAACATGGTCCCCATAAACAAAAAATAAACCTGCTATCCAGACTAGCAAATCTACAACTACATCACCAAGAAGTCCTAGACTGACAGTTTTAGAAAATGAAATCTCAAACTAAACAAATTATCTTAGTGCTTGTTTGGTTTACTTGGAAATAAATTCCTGTAGGAAGTTACATTTCATGGGAAATTACTTTACATTTGCAATTAACCTGGGGTGGGTTGGTGGGTAGGTTGGTGATTTATTTCCTATGTTTTGTGGGAAGTTCCCCATTCTCATGATTTTCTACATCCCCCATTCACTTTTTGTTGATAACCAAATAGCTACTCCATTTGCAATTCCAATGAATTTCTGTTTCCTACACTTTAATGCTCACCAAACAAGTATTAAGACATTTACTATCCAAGATAGTTTTCAGTGCCACTTTGGTGAACCATATTAGAACCCTAAAAAAAGGAAGCCTTTGTTTCCGCCTTCACCAGTTCTCAACTGTCAATAATATATTTATATGCTGCAATAGCCGCTTCACCAGAATTTTTTTTTCTGATAATCACCCCCAAGCCACTGGCTGCTCACCTTAAACTGAAAAGTACCCTGCTTGGTGGTGGTGGGGGAGCTGCCATGAGCCAATTGCAGTGTCGCAAGCTGCATCACTGTCCTCTAGGATAATCTATTCGGTTGATTATGCAGCTACTATGTGCCTCCTAATTTGGAGCAAACAAAATGTATTATGCCAGCATCATAACACTCTCTGCACAAAGGACAAATTAGTCAATAGCAAAGTGCCAGAAGATTTTTACCAGAACCTTACTCAATTGTGCTTCTTCCCAAGCTTGGCCAGCAAAGGGACAAATTCTAACTGGATGAATATCAAACCTCAAAAGCACATTGATGACTCTTGCCACAATTAGCATCAGTACTAGAAAGATGGTTGTTTATGTTACCTCTTGCATAGAATGATCCTTTGCATAGCTGACAAACATTCACTTTCAAGGATACTTTTGTATTCCTAATTTCATAACTTTGAAGCTGTCATTATCTGAGCTAGAAATGCTTTCAGTATTCGTTAACTGTTATAATGGTATCAGGTTTTCACCAAATACTGTCTATCCTTTGCAAAATGTATGCCAAGCAACCATCAACTAAAGGTGTAAGGCTTATGCTACCTCTATGTGATTATTCTTGTAATTTTTACTGCCTAAGCAACAAATGTTTGGATATAGTATAAATGGGCAACATGTGGTTTTGTTCTGTCCTGTTCAGAAAACAACCTATTCTAAAGGCACTTGGTTACACAAGTGGCACCAGAAGAACGAGTGCACCACTTGCTGCTAATGTGTTGTGGGATGAACTTCAAGCTTCATTTAAAGTGATGTTATCTTGCATAGTGCGTACATGAGAATACTCAATGCCTGTCTTGCGTAGTGCATACATGATGGGCATATTATGATGTTTGGCTCCTTTCTACTGCAGCATCACTGAGCATTCTGTAGAGAACACCATTATAAGACCTACCTACATGCTCACGTATGAAAGTGCATCAGAGCTCCTACATTTGAATCTTGAAGAGGAGCCTGAATTAAAGATTCTATCTGAGGCTGCAGCTCTACGTTTGCATTGGCGAAGACAGCAGGTTAAATATAACTTTCACAATATATATATTTCTTGTAAAAGTCGTAATGGCTGCTAGCTGCTAATTTCATCTTACCATGTTTGTATACCCCAATATAGTGACTCTTTGTATTTCTTGTGCCATCAAATATCTGTCCAATTTCCTTTTATAGCAACATTTTATGACAAGACTAAGGTCTCTCATCCAAAACTCCTCTACCAGCCTTTCTTTAAAAAAAATTTCCCTACTAGTTCATTCACATATTTTGTGAAGACTATATTTGTGGACCTGTATAGTTACCACAATAGATGCCGTGTGGGAATTTTTTTGACATAAAAAACTGGTTACATCTTTGTATTCTGTATTATATTTAAAGCTTGTATTTCTCAATTACAGTGTAGTAATATTTTCTGGGTTTCTTCATGTTGTATTTGGCGTACTTCACTTTGCAATTTTTTTGTTGTTTATTTAGCTATATTTTTCACCTGAATATCTGTTCTTTTGAAGTCTTGATATATGACAAATTTTGTAATCTGCAATCACAATTCTCTTTGGGTGAGCCTTAAAAATCTTATTGGCACACATATGCATCTCTTCAGTTTTACCCGTGCAAAATGCACGGGATATATAAGAAAAAATATATTTAAAATATGGAAAGTTGATTTTGATGTTGTAATTTAGACTTGAGCTGTAATGGACGATTTTGTTGAACCCTAATTAGCTCTGTTGTACTGAGTATTAATAGTTGTATTAATAATGTGCTGACACTTGCTGTGCTATGTTGAAATATGATATTCTATGCGTTGCTTAGAAGCTCAAAAAACAAGATCTAACTCTTTTATGTCGGTGGTCACGCAATGTTATTATGGGGTTTACTTTTTCAAAGTTATAGAGGTTACCCGTTCAGTGTTATAGGGGTTACTCGTGTTACTTGGTTAGTGTCATATGGGTTAGCGTCTTGCTCTAGGGGTTACATACTTTGTTTTGTTGCAAGTAGTTATTCGCTAAGGCTAGTTGCACAAAAACGTGTTCTACATTTTTTTTGTTTTTGATGATTAAAGAAGTGGAAAATGTTTGGAGGGTAGTCCTATAAAAATGCATATAATTGAAGGGTTGGGGATTTAGAGTACTATAGTGAATTGTTGATAAAAAAACTGTGTACTCGTGCTAATGCATGACATATATTATACTATTGTACCAAAGTGAAATGTTAGTAGTAGTCCCAAAAAAAAAAAAAGGAAAAGAAAAACCAAAAGGAAATAGTGAATGGTTAGTTATTGATTTTTTTTTTTTTAAAAAATGACAAATAAAAACAAAAATTAAGTAGTGGGAATGGGTAGTTATTTTGCTTTAAAAAAAAAAAGAAAAAAAACCAAACTAAATGCATGAGAGTTGAGCATTTGGGTTTTGGAGCACTCATCAAAACGACTCTGTAATTATAATATAGATTATTTGTTGTGGCTTGATGTCTATTTAAATTTCCAAACTTTGTTGGATCACTTTCTCTTTCAGGGTGCCGTTGACACCTCAATGATAGAAGCACGTGTCAAAGTGGCTAATCCTGATGATCCAGAACCACAAATCAATCTGTATGTAGAGAATCAAGCTGATCCTGCAATGCGCCTGGTTTCGGAGATGATGATTCTTTGTGGAGAAGTCGTTGCTACATTTGGATCTTGTAACAACATTCCTTTACCTTATAGAGGACAGCCTCAGTCAAATATAGATGTATCTACATTTTCTCATCTTCCTGAGGGACCAGTTCGGAGTGCTGCCTTAGTTAAAACAATGCGTGCTGCTGAATATGATTTTAGGAAGCCAATACGCCATGGTGTTTTAGGAGTTCCTGGCTATGTTCAGTTTACATCTCCTATACGAAGATATATGGATCTTCTTGCCCATTATCAGGTTTGTTCTTCCCTTGATGTTGATTACACTGGATAAACGTTTTAATAGTCATACATATTCCACTGTGTTGTTTATTATCCATTTTGTCTAGTCTGAGATTAGCTACTGCTTATTTTTCTCACTTTTCAGTTGTAATAGTTCCAAATAATTCATGTTGAGTGAAAGTTCTCTCCCATGTTTAAATGTGCAATATTGAAGCAATTGAGTGGTGATCATATCCCGGTGGTCATCCTGTAAAATTAAGTCATTCTGATAATTATTGGTTCATAAAACGTTTATTTTTGTAATTTTTATCTTTCCTTTGATGTAGCAAGTCATGTATGCTGGTTTAATATAAATTTCTCCTTTGGTGACAGCTAATCAAAAAGCCTAGTAAAGACACCGGAAAAACATCTAGTTAACTAAACTTGTTTTGACTTAGGAGAGCTGATAAAATGCCTGTATTAGTGTAGGAATAATTCGTTCCCTTTCTTTGTGCATATATGAGCATTTGAAAGGAAATCTAGTGAATCAAGGTTAAAGCATGTACCACTAGCATCTTCCTCTTTAATGCTCCAGGCATCTTGGTAAAAGCGATGTAGCAGCAGGGGTCATTCTGCATTTGTTTTCCTTAAAATGCATATGCTGTTTGTAACTACGTATGCGAGAAACACCTGATGCTCAAATTTTATTACTTATCATATTTCATATGGAAGTCTAAGGCTTCAAAAAGATAAAAGGTCTGTTGCTCAATTTGTCATATATTGGATGAATCCAGCATTGATGACAGATTCCAACCTAAGAGACATAATTAAAGAGCCTTTCTCCCAGTGTTTGTGTGCTCTATTGTGATAACAAGACTGGCAATCACTTGTTTTTTCTGGACTAGATTGGTTAGGAACTTGGGACTCTTTAATTCAAAGAGGTAAGTGTTAGGTGATGGTGAATGGCGTTCCCACGAAGTGGACTTCTTTGTCATGGGGGTTATGGAAGGGGATCTTATGTCACTTTTTTTATTCACTGCAGTTGATATGTTCGAAGGTTTAAGTTTGGGTCTTAGGGTGGTGACAAAAGTTTAGGTATACCTTCTAATAAGTAGATGATATTGTTGTCTTAGTTGCTGATCTTCGTAATTTAAATATGCTAAAAAAAAAAGGAAGCTCTTGAGTAGCCTGCTACTTTAGTGTGGGCAGAGTTTGCTCCATAGTTACTTAAGTGGGCCTCTTGAAGGCAGTTTATGCATAGGGAACTGTGTGTTTGAAAACTTTATGGAGAGTTGTGAATGGCTTCAGAATTTTTTTATTGTCGAGTTGGAGGGATTACTGATTAGGCCACGGCAATAAGTTGCATATAGATTGATGCAATAGTATCTATTAAAAGTGGGCCTCACATGATTTTACACACTTAAAATGGGGTTGAGAGATTGTTAGGATGTTAATTAAATAGGCCATGACCTTTAAGTAAGGGAAATAGTACAACTTTCATCCAAAAAAGTTTCCAACTGTAGTGTATTGCAAGTATAGTGACATTTTCATTTTAAGGAAGCATTGCAAGTGTTAAAAACGGAAGAAGTATCTTTTTAGCCTTTTCTTCACTTTTTGGTCCAGATATTTATAAATCATTTGGTTTTTTTTGGGCCTGTTTTCATTTCCTATGCAGACAGCATAATGTTACATGCTAATACTAATAAACAAGATTCACTATTATCTATATGACACTTCCAAAGTTTTTGGTTTGGAAAGTAGTGTTGCATTTCTTTCTTGTTCAGGTTTTAAGTATATATTGCGTATTAGAGAGAATGTTGCTCAAATGAGAGTTGTTTATTCCACCATCAAAACATCTGTTAATCTAGCATTGATCAACGAAGCGAGTACACAGATGTATAAACAACCTCTTGTTGTGTTCATTTCACCTATATGAAGGGCTAATCTATAAAAGTTAACTGAAGAGAACAAGTGAGAGTCGTTTGTTCCACCATTAAAAATTGTTGATCCATCAACCAAGCTAGTATATATAGAGTTGCCCCTCATTAATTTTCGTATTCGTCCTTTTGTAGAACAGATGATGGCTTCTGTATTATGGCTGATACATTAGATCAGGACCGACCAAACTTATACATGCTCTGTTCATAAAAATTGTGCTCTCTAGTCATGAATCTGATTTACTATCTACCACGGGGTGTCATTTTGTTTATTTAGAACATTTGTCGATTTCATGACATCTATGTTCAACTACGGTCTCCATGCTGTTGAAGTTGTTTTATTGTTGCTTTTAAATTTTGATTAGCCTTATGTTTCCTCATGCCTTCAAAGAAAAATAGACTCTATAGACGTTCTTGTTCCGTAACATTAGTACTGGGTTGATTGCCTTTCAGGTAAAGTCTTTTATTAGGGGTGATGCCCCTCCATTTTCAGCAGGTCAGCTAGAAGGGATAGCATCAATAGTTAATATGCAGCATAGAGTTGCAAGAAAGCTTTTCAGTAGTAGTCTCCGGTATTGGGTACTAGAATATTTAAGAAGGCAGCCAAAGGAAAGAAAATTCCGAGCTTTGATTCTCAGATTCATTAAGGACCGCATCGCAGCCTTGATTTTGGTGGAGGTACACTTTTTTTTTTTTTTTTTTTTTGTTGAACGTGCTTGCACTGTTGTGTTATACTCCCTCCAATCTTATTTGTTCTTCCCATTTGGAATTAGAGAGTAAATTAAGAAACATGGATCTTAACGAGAGAAAACATGTAAAATAATAGGATTCTGTTATTAATTTATTAATTTGTGGGTTTTTTTTTTTGTTTTACATTGAATAGTTTTACTTCTCAATTTAGCTGATTAAATTATATCATAAATGGATTGTTTTGTACAACATTTTAACGAATTTCATGATGAAAAAATATTATATTTTATAAGATGTTTTCTAAAAAACTTATAATCTATTTTATATGTGGAGTATTAAAAGTCCTATTATTTTTCATTTTTTTATCCTATAAATCTATTTTAAATTCCCTTATAGATTCATACATATATACTCCATCCGTTTTTAAAAACTTCACTATCTTTTTTCGGTCGTTTTTTTAAATATTTGCTCCATGTCCCTATTTGAGAATCTTGTACAATATTTAATTCATCTCTCTCACTTTGTGGACCCAGCATGAATCATATTTTATTAATTTCATATTTTCTCTCCTCTAATTCTCTCATCTACTTTTGCTATTTACAATTTTTTATTCTTCCCCTTACCCCACTACCTCCATATTTTATTACTTTTTTCAATTTCTCCTAAAACTCCGCGCATAGAGAAATGAAACAAGTATTTAAAAACGGAGGGAGTAGAATTTTAGAAGTCTTATTAGAAATAAAACTCAAAAGTAAATTATTTTATCTTTAATTTACTAATCTAATGTTATGGTGTCGTATTAATGTTTTTTTTTTGGTACATAGTGCGACATTTCGCCTATGTGGCTCAGGCGAAATGTCGCACAACACTTGGCGAAAAGTTGAAACACAAGTAATGTTGTCTCATGGCTTGACTAGAAGTATAGCTTTATATATTAATTGTATGATAATTGAGGCTTTTGAGGTCTTGATTATATATATTTATTAAGTGCTCAAACTATATTGTATCTAAGGTTGTATAGAGTGCGGTGTAGACCGCACCAAACCGCATTTTTGTGGTTTGGTGCGGTTTGCTATTTCAAAATTGCGGTGCGGTTTTTATAAAGGACCAAATCGCGGTTTGTGGTTTGGCGTTGTTTTTAAAAAAATTTAAATCGAATTGAAGTACGTTTGCAGTTTTAATATTATATTTGTATTTAAAAAATATAAAAGAACTAGACTAAGTGAGCTAATCTTTGACTATTAGCTAATTAAAGGTAAAAAAAAAGAGTTTAATATTTGAATTATAAATAATTAGTAATTACTAAATAAGATAAAAGTTTTGTTTAAAAAAAAAATTATAATTAAAAAAAATATGGTTAAACCGCACCGCACCAAACTGCATTTTGCGGCGCAATTTGGTTAGAAGTGCAATTTGGTGTTATTTTTCATATTTGCATCACTTGTTATTGTTCGGTGTTAATTTTTTTTATTTTTTTATTTTTGCATCACTTTATATTCCTTAAATATATTACCATATTTAATCATCTCTCTCTCTTCCCTAAAGCGTCACTGGAAATATTTTATCGTTTCTCTTTCATGGTCACTAATTAAATGGTTAAAAAAACTACTTTCTCTCACATGCTCTGATTCACGATCCCCATTGTACTTTTATCATACTCTTTCCGTCCTTTTATTACAAGCCTATATCTCATTTTACACGGCAATTAAGAAAGTTAAATATTCCTTAAAACTAATAATTTGGCGTATAAATGTGAGGTTAGAGAGAGATAAAGAGAAAGAAAAAGTGGTTGGGAATTAATGTTAAAGTACAAAAAAGAAAAAGAAAAAGGATGACAAATCATCAAAAAGAGAATAATATTGTAAAAAAGTACAACATATAAATAGAAATTGACACTTAATTTCGATGACCCAAAATAGGAATACAGACATGTAATAAAAGGATGGAGGGAGTAAAAATTTAATTAGTCACTTGTTCTTTCCCAATATATTGTAAGAGCAAATAAACTCTTTTAAAGCTCCATGCATCATCAAGTGATGTAAAAGAAAAGTTAAAAAAAAGGGGAGGAGAGTTTATAACATTTAGCAGTTTTTGTTAGCAACTTGAATTGTTACTCTGAATAAAAACAAGGAATCCACTTCAATAAGACTAAGAGAATGGTGCATTCTATAACCATCTTTGGCATATGAATCCTACAAAAACTTATTTTTAACCAATATCTAACTCTTCAAGTATGCAATGTTTCTTGTGTGCGTATATATATTACCATGACACACTCAACTATGCATTATAGTTATCACTGTGTAAAATTTTACTTAATAACTTGATTCTGTTTAGTATAAGGTTGTAACTTGGGTGATAATATATTTCTGTGTAATTTTGCATGTTATGACAGGTTGTAAATTAAAGTTTGATAATAGTTAAAAGATTTCTGTATAAATTTGCATGTTATGCCATCAGTTAGTGCATCTTGAACCTAAGAATGTATTTCTTTCACAAATGTTCTTTAACACTAATTTACCTTTTCTTAATATAGCTACTTTCCATCAATTACCCGTGATTACCATCCAAACAAGAAAAAAACCCCTTTCAAATATTAAAATCCCTACCAAGAAATATAGCTACTTCTTTTTCCACCAATTACCCAATGATAACCATCCAAACAAGAAAAAAACTATAAATTCTTGTAAAGGAATTACATCAAGATATTGGGGTCTAGTTATTTTATTCGCAGCTCATTTTGTACTGGATAGAAGACCCCTGCCTTTCTTAAGATGTCTCAATTTTTTGATTATCTTTTCTTCTCCGGAAAGCAGTTAGTTGTGGTTTATAACTTGTATCATCTCCTTTTTTTTCTTCCTCCCCTCCCAAAGAAGGGTTAGGTTGCATTTTGTGCTAGTCTTCCATGCAGGATGTAGGTTAAGTTTATACATTTGGACTTCTTTGGATGACTAAACCTTTATTTAATTTAGTGTGAGTGTCTGCACACTCACGGCGCGTGCGCTTGTGCATGCATTTAATATGCTTAACTTAATCGGTGATTAAGTTTCTGCTAATTGGGTTGGGTTGGATTGCAGGTTGGGCTTCAAGCTTCTGCATGGGTCTTAGTGGGATCTCAAGTTGGAGATGAAATTGAAGTTCAGGTAGAAGTAGCTCATCCAAGAGATGATACATTGTCACTCAAGCATGTTCCTGAATAATATCGATCTGATGTCACGGAAGGTGCTGATGTCTATAAACCATATGTAAGGATGTGAATTAGAAAATACACTTCCTCACCAATGTGCAAGTAAGATGGCTTTCTAGAGTTGGCTAGCTGATGATGCCTGTTTGTGACTCAGTGCTCAACAAACTATTCGGGGCTATTTCATTGCCAATTCAAAATTGACTCTTTAACTAATTTTGTTACTAAAAGATGAGAGTACTGGTGAAATGAATTGGGTGATGGCTTGCTCTGATTAACTTGAACTCGCCAGGGCCAACTAAGTCCTCATAGAAGCTCAGTTCTAGCAGCTGGCTTGGATTTTCGTGTGTTTTGATGAATGATAAGCAAAGAGTACTTGGGTGATTCGTCATTCGGAATTGCCTTCTCATACTACATTGTCATGGATCTGATGTATAGGTTGGATTTAGTGGAATCTAGGATGCATTTAGGCATTTTTTCTACTGCCTATTGTATATGTTAAATTTTTGTATTGACCCCTCTTTTGCAGAGTCTACTTGGGTCAGATTGAACCATTCACATCATACTGATTATGCCTTGCTCAACAATTAGTTGAAATAGTATGTATCAGCTGATGTTAAAGTTTCCTGTATCAGTTGTTTGGACCAGCTGATTGAATCAGTGATTTGTACTAAAATTACTTCGTATTATGTAAAAGTAGCTGATGACAAAAATGTCAATAAGCTTTGCAGAGTAATAGATACAATATTGCAGAAATGGCCTTTATAGGTACAACTTGAGGCTAAGGTAAAGTAGGGGTTTTTTCTTTCCTTTTTTTTTTTTTTTTGGAACAAAGGTGAAGTTGTATTTTGACAAATTTATTTCTTAGGGGGTTGGTTGGTCAAACCTTAATACTGATAAATATATAAAACCTAGATAAAGCCCGTGCAATGTACGGTTTATTTGTATTTTTTAAAATAAATATTTGTTGTATTTATGTGATACTCTCTCTGTCCTCAAATGATAGTCCTTTATGGACAAATTTTAGTCCCAAAATGTTCACACCATTTGTTTTTCCAACAATCATTTATATTAATTTTTTTTACCAAAATTCCCTTCAATTTGTAATAATATTTATGCAAATTTAAATTTCCTATGTTAATTTTGTTTTTCCAGGTACTTTTATTACTTTTGGTCTCTATTTTTTTGCATACTCAATGTCAATTTACTTTTTCAATGTAGAATAATGTCCATAAGGGACTATAGACATGGGACGGAGGGTGTAAAATCTGTTATTTTATTTGTTTTACGTAATACTCCGTATATCATTTATATTTGTATTTTAAAATAAATTGTGAATTTCTTGTCGTTCGTTGTATATTTAGATAAAATTATTTCTAATATCAAAAGACAAAATCTTGTATTTAATTAATTAAAACTTTTAAATCTCATTTGCCAATTTTGCATATGTGATATTAGAATTATTTAATTTTAAAATAATATATAAATCTATTATCTAATTGGTTGTAAGCAAGTGGGGGTACACACTACACTAATAAACACTCCCTTTGTTTTTAAGCACTTAGTCCACTTTTCAATTACAAATTCTTTAACTGGATTTTGGTTCATACTAATTTATTGTGGACCACTAACATTAAAGAAACTATGGTTGTTTTACTAATAAAAAAAAGTCACTATAATAAAAAAAAAAAATTCACTATGTTGAAATAAAAGTCATTTTGATAATATATAGGCTATAAGAGGTTAATTTTTTAAATGAAATATTTTATATACTGGTCAATATGAATAATAAATAAAGGTCACTATATTAAAATTAGGGTCACAACGTCGTACTTCAAGTTCATAATAATATTAAACGTTATACAAGTTTTAATAAAGGTTACTATGTTAAAATTAAGGTTACTATGTTAAAAATAAGGGTCACTATATTCAATATAATGTTAGTTGCTTGTATGTAAACCTCGGGTCCACAATAATATTATTGTGGACCAATTATTGTGGACCAGGTCCACGCAAGTCTTTATGCTTTTCAATTTCGGCCGTTTTTAAATTGTTGCTCTATTTCCTTTTTTTTTGGAATTAAATACTTGCTCACTTTTTAATTTCTGCCGTTTTAATATACTTGCTCTATTTCCTTATTTGAAAATCTTTTGCAATATTAAATTTATTTCTCTTATCTAGTGGATCTAATATAAATCATATTTTAATAAATTTTTTTATATTCTTTCTCCTCCAATTCTCTAAATTACTTTTGCTTTTTACAATTTTTATTCTTCCACCTAGCTACTCTATTATTTTCATATTTTATTACGTTATCCAATTTCTCTTAAAAATCCACGCATGGAGAAATGTAGCAAGTATTTGAAAACGGAGGAAGAACAAGGTATAAAACTTACCCAAAACAGAAATATGACAATTGAAAATTAACTTTTTTTTTAATTTTTTTTTGAAATCAATTCAAAATAAACTTCCTAAAAGGAATGGGTGTCAATTAAAATAAACAGAGGTAATTATATACTCTATTTGTCCCATAATATAGTTTCTATTGTCTTTTGTTTCATGGTATTTAAGAAATTGGGAGAAAAAGTTTCCTTTGTCCCATAATATAGTTTTTATTGTGTTTTTTTTATGGTATTTAAAATTGGGGAAAAGTGGAAATTAATAGTGAAAAAAAGTTAGACAAAAGTACAAGACAAGTGTATAATTTAAGGGAAAAAAGTAAAAAGTGCAATTTTGGACAAAAGTTAGATAGGGTAAGTGGAAAAAGTACAATGCAAGTGGATAAGTTAAGGGGCAAATTAGGAAGTTCAATGAATAAAGTTAAAAAATTGAGGGTATAATGGTCGTTACATACTGTCCAATAATGAAAACAGGAACAATATTTTGAGTCTCCAAAATAGAAAAGCATGAACTGTATTTTGAGACTGAGGGAGTACTAGATTTGAGCAAAAGGCTAGTCAGGGACTCAGAGTAAGGGCAATAGGGGTTTGCCAATCCTCTAATGTGCTTACAACATCACAGAAAAGCCGAGACAAAATGCTACTAAACGTTGGATTATTAGGTAATCTAAGCCTTATTTGTTTTATTTCATATCTATAAGCTAAAGTTCAATTTTATTTTATTTTTCTTTTTATTTTATTTATTTATTTATTTGTTTGTTTGTTTTTTTTTTAATTTTGTAAGTTATTTATTTATTGATTTGCAAAGGGCAGACATTATCAACAGTATGTTAAGTCTTGTTTGTGGTAAGTTTTTAGCATTGTACTTGTAGACACCTAAAAATGTCTCCCCAAAACAAAACCCGATGATGAACCTTTCATTGCCATTATTGGTGGGGTTGAGTATGTAATCTTGGAGTGCTTAAATCAATATTCAATCCCAATATATTTCATAAACCAACCCAATTCCTAACACATTTCCCCAAATCATAACTTATTTTCCTCTTTTCGTGCCTTTAACCCCACAATAATTCATTTTGTGTCCTTTAAAATCATTCATTTCATGTCTGTAAAATATTTCAAGTATTACCCCAAACTTGAACTCCACTGTGATTACACTTAAGTATGGTGGCGTTCAAAGGGAAGGAAGCTAGAGCAAAAGAGTCGTGAACAGGTTTTAGGAACTTGTAAACCGTTCATAGGGTGAAGGTTACACCCCTTAACGATCCATGAGATCGTTAACTTCAATAGGTCTGGAACCTTGATTGGAAGTTCGGGGATGAAGGTACAAATCCAATCTGAAAAAGAAAGAACCTGCCCTAATAATAGGCCTCTACTTTATTCTTCTCGTATTCATGTGCGCTTTCTGACTAACATGCAATCGATAGGTTTACCCTAAACCTGTTTAATCTATGTTGGTTGAATATTAATGTACAAATAAATCTATTATTGGCGATCACTTGAATCATAATCAAATTAACCCTAAACAAGATTATTAATTATCTTATTAAGGGTGATTACAAGTACCAATTCCCTTTAAACATGCATAAAAGGTGTGATCATGCAATAATAATAGACATCAAGCAACACAATAATAATCATAATAATAATAATTAAAATAATCATGTTAAAGCATAATATAATAGCAAGATCCTAGGAATGATACTCACAAGATTAATTTACAAACCCTAGCATGTCACTAAACATCAAATATCAAAGCTTTAGCCCTAACATGATACTAACATGCTATTAAGAAAGACAAATAGGAAGCATTCTTTTAATCATACTTGATATTAGGAATCTTTAGTTGTTACCCTAAACATGATACTAGAAATCAATAAAATATCCTACCATGATACTAGGAATCAAAATAAAAATCTAAACATGATTTCTATATCATAATATCAATAAAGCAATTAAAGCACTTACTTGGATGCCTCATATCTCTTTCTAATAACAAAATACATACGTTAGTAACTTCAAGAGAAATAATAAAATTAAAGAATTAAATTAAATAATTGAAATAGATATTTGAGAAAGTTTAGACTAGATTTGGGACCAAACCCTCAGAAATGTCAAACCTTTCACGTCTAGGGCGAAGGCAACTTCAAACTTGGCTAGGTGTGTCTAGTGCTAATGTATGAGGAATTGTGTTTGTAAAAGGCTAGTTTTGAAAGAGAGAGAGAATCAAGAAATTCTTGATGAGAGTTGATGATTAAAAACGAAGGTCTAAAGACGCTATTTATAATGAAAATAGTCCAGAATAGATAAAAAAGAATCGGAATTTCAAGAGGAATAAAACACGACGCTGGCGCCGCAATTGCCTCTGTCGTTGCGCGACAGGGCTTGTCGCTAGGCGACAGCCTGGCGTGCGGCGCTGCAGACGATTTTCCACACGTTTTTCTATTTTTTGATAAAATTATGCGTAAAAGTCCGTACGAGGGGTAAAATCGTCATTTCATTTAAAACACTTCTTTTATTCCAAATAAAACTCATAAACTTAATTATCAATCCTAATCACATTAGGATTCAAAAGAACCTTCTAGAAGATTCTAGAAGACTATAATCAATCCTAATTGCATTAGGAATGATAATTCATAATAGGCCCTCCTCTAGATCATTGGGCCTCATCATGTAAAGATCAAACCCGGTCCAATTTAGAATTTGGCCATAACTTCCTCATTATTCATCGGAATTGGGCTTATAATATATCGTTGAAAACCTCTATTCGAGCCCAATACAACTACAACATTATTGGACCCATGTCATGAACTAATCTAAACTGGATTGGCTATTTTCATAAAATAGGTTTTCGAAAATAGAGAGAAAGAAGAGAATTTAATTAAAACTAACCGCAACACTAGACTTTCCACACTTTCACTTCATTCGATTATGATTCGACGTGAAAGGTATTCATCATCGGGTTTGGTTTTGGGGAGACACAAATGGGTGTCTACAAAAGCTCCCACTTTGACTGAGTTTGGAGAAACACAAGTTTCGAAAACAAAAGTCAAAGTATCGATAGGGACGAAGAATGATTCATAACGTTCTGCGATCCTAAATCATTCTTGTATGCCGATACCTGCAAACTAGCGTTAGTTTAAAACGGATAAGAGAGTTAAGAAATGCGTATCTTGCACCGTCGAGCACACATCTCTGGAAGTAACCGATTTGTTGCATTGTTGTTGTGACAACCTTCCACAAGCTAGGGAACGCCATCCTGTTGTTTTGACGATCTTCCTTAAGCTAGGGGATACCGCCTGAAGACTGCTACGCATTAACTGCCTCAAATTTCTGCTGTGATAGTCTTCTGCAAGC